ATCAACGTTTGACGTGAAAGGTTATATCAGTAACACAAACCTTAGGACTATCGGGACTGGGGGACACAGTCACGGTGTATGTGCCTCCTGATATCTTTGGGGCAGAGTCACATTCTGGCAGCTCTTCGGAACTTACCGATTCGAGCACTGCAAAAAAATAATGAATTAATCTGCGTTATATGTAATGTTTTATTTTTTTTCGATGATGAATGGCGAATATATTTCTTTATAATTAACAATTTGTCATGAATAAACTGACAAGCGGTTTATTAAGTTTATTTCACGTTAATAATGAGAGCAAGGACTATAGTCCCTGTCATATAAGGACTTATAAAGAAATCCATTTTGAACGACACAATAGAGGTCCTCTACCCAGATCCTCTCCCACGTGGGATGTTTTAATTTCAGGTAAATCTGGAGTAGTGGAAGTAGAGCTGGAGGAATTCTATAGAGAAAGCAAGAGAGAGGTAATGAGAAAGAGAGGGCAAAAGAAAGAATGGAACAAGGTAAGAAAGCAAGAAAAAGGGGTAAACAGACAGGCATAATTAAATCATAATTGTTTAAAGTGTATACCCAATAAGAAAACCCGAATGTACTTGAAACATAAGTAAAATGCAAATACCCTTCCAAGTTTCTTCTGACACCAGCGCCGAAATCGGGCCAGCTTCTTAGGAGCTCTCGGTCCAGTATCACGAGGACTCCTTCTCCCTTGTGCTGCAAGATATTTGATAAATCATGTGACATAAATAGTAACTGGTGTAAAATGTAGTATGCTGAGTAAGCAAAGACACTGTATATATTGGCCGGGTACAGGCATGTTACTTTTAACTGAGATGGTTCCCTTTAACGCAACTGTGTATTCTAAACATTACCGTGTTCTTTTCTTTCGACAGACCAGAAACATATCATAGACTTATTTTCAACTTACCAGGGCCTCTTTTAAGACCAAAGCAAGATAGGAGATTATCCCAATCACTTCTACGTGGCTATAAAGCAAGTAGAAATAAATGACTTGAATGTTCTGCACCCAAATATTAAAAATATATATGTTCCATCACTATTCATATTTCTAGTTTTATGAACCTCCCTGCCAAGTGCCGTATCTGTTTAAAGAAGCGTAACCTCAAGGAGATTGTTTCACAAGTGAATATTCTGTTTTCCGTCTGATTTTAAAAGAAAATTTGAGATTATTCACTGTAGGTATAGATCAACACAACTCTAATTGGCATACGCTGAAATCACAAGAACAACGGCTTGTCTTATATGTTGTACAATCGCCATGAAATAGATGCTTCCTACCTCTCCCCCCCCCCTCCACAACTCATCTCTCTCTCTCTCTCTTTTACAATGGTCCACAAAACACATACTGAAAATATTTTGTCAACGACATACACAGTGCAACTTACAATTAATGGCATATTGCTCTTCTTTTATGACAGAAATTTCTTCGTAAATAGTCAAATGCTAACGTGGTTCAACACAATGTGTATCACTCGTTTGCGGTGTGACGGTTGTCTGAGGAGACGGTTCCGACAAACTGACGTCACAACAAAGACGCATGCTTATTGGATGATGACGGGTATTATACATAAATCTTGCCCCATTTCATAAAAATCAATTTCATAAATACTACAGCGTGAACATAATTTTTGGCCTCGCTTAACCTACTCAAATGAAATACATTTCTCTTGGATATATAAACACTACATGATGGAAGATGTTTTATGGACAAATGATAAGTTTGAATCGTTCCATATTTCGGCATAACGCGAGATGCGGCAAACCAAATTTAAAGTATTATGACGTCACAGTGGAAGAAGGAGGTTTGAACATTTATGACGTTACGTTGCGACTGAGACTTGAAATGTCCTCCTCATTCCAGAATTGCAAATCTTTTCAGACAGGGCTTTGATTAACAAATAAGCGTATGGTGTAAATGCTGCATAAACACCTCCCATCTGTTCTTTTTTTAATTATCTTCCTTTTATAGAACAAAATGCGGGAAAGGAGCACATTTTATCAATAAATTTTACTTTAACTTTGACAATAGTATATACATTATTTATACATGTATATACACAATTTTAAAATGGGTATGCTTGTTATAATGTTTAGGACTACTACAGGTATGTAGTTTACATAAAAAAGAACAAAGCTTCAAGGCCATGACTTGGAAAGAAATCTCTTGAGATTTGTAAATCAGTTTTCTTACCCGAGCGATGATTTCAAAATTTACACCCTATACCATAATACATGATCAAACTGGACTCTTATTTGTATCATTCCCGTCGGTTGTCAAGGAGAAGGATACAGATCCATGTCCAGTAATCCCAGATTGAGCTCAATGTCTGCTTGGATCAAAAAGTTGTAAATACCAGTCCGATAAACCGAGACTGTAAAGGTTATTTATTTCGTTGACAAACAAAAACAGCATCCCCTGCATTAATTGCGGGTCCTTCATCTGTCCGTCTCATTCTGACACATTTTATGTCCTATCATTGACACATCAGTGACACATATTCTTAACTCCTGGAGCTTGTTTCACCAAAAGACAGGATTTCTGCGGCAAAATATGAAAAAAATTCTCTTATTATTATTAATTTCCATGACTTTTTTAATCACTAGTTTGATTTATCTTCCTGCCAGCTACAAGACGCGTAACCTCAGAGATCGTTTTTCAAGTAAATAATACATGTATTTTTTCCCATTCGTAAATAGTCACAGACCGCTTTCGGAAAAAATTGATTCGCAGATCCGCGAATTAAATATGGTTGACCCACTTAAAAGCAAAGGCGCCTAAACCCCTAATGGTCTCCACCTTTGCCATCTCTGCAGGGGCCTGGCAATTAGATCACGAAGCCGAGGTTTAAAAGGTTGCTAAGCTCCTGCAAGGATGTCGCGTGTGGACCATAAGGGAATAAGGCGACTTTGCTTTCAAGTGGGGACGGCCATATTTATTATACAGATCAGTTAGTCCGTGGATCAACCCTTCTGAATGCGGCCAAAGTGAATATGCGTCAGAGTAATATTTGCTAGTTTCAATGTTTGGAATCAGTACTTATAATCGACCAGCTGGGGTGTTTGAGCGGCCAGCATGAGACTCTTTTAAACAACACAGATTAGTGTACAAATCATAGGTTTTTGAAAAGATGGCTAGGTGTACTGTCACCTTTTATCATGAAATTGGTAGTGAAGTTAAGTGTTTGGTAAATTTCAACAGGTATGATACTTATAAGCTGCACCTGTATTCATTTTTGAATGATGGAAATATACCTTTCCAAGACGGGCAAAGCGCGAGAGCCGTCAAGTGTCCCAAATACTGGTTGCCTAGAGGGGTTTCGATAAACCATCTTGAAGTCTGCAGAATTTTGTATTTAATCAGCAATTCTCCACTGAGAAATGGGCCCTGTCATGTTAAACACCTACTTACGATCTTTCCCTTCGACTGTCTTGGAATATCTACACCGCCATTGGATATTATGACGTGAAGTCATCTCAGATGTGGTTTGTCAATCGAGTATGCGTCATTAACTTTACATTACAAAATATCTTTCATAGTTATTTCAATGTCTTTCTTATTAATGTTTTATTGTATAATTATATATCATTTAATGCTAAATTTAAATCATTCCGTTCAGGTATCGAATTTAAAAAATACTTTTTTTCGGGAGGGGGAGGGAAGAGGGAGCGGGGTCAATAAAAACGAAACCCCTCTAGGAAATCTTGAATCCGCCATTGTTTGTCAGGAAGAAGAGCCTTGTAAGAACACATAGCAACATGTGTAAAATAGTTTATTTTCAATATAATGACTGTACTAACAACAGTAAATCTCAATGATCTTTACACGTTTCATTTGCACAATCACGTGATGTTCAAAATCAAACAAATCTCATAGTGATACAAATTGCATCCAACGTTGATTCGCTGACAAAATTACATTTTATGGAGGCTAAAGACGAGAATAATCTCCCTCTTTTCTTGTCCACGAAGGTCATATTTTCCTTATCGGAAATAAGGTGTCCTTATGTATTCCGTTAAATGCCATCAGCCTTCGAATGGATTCCCCTAAAATGTCGAAGTATGCCCAACTTAATATTGGGAAAATTATTACAGTTTATCTTTGGTCATAAACAAACCGTTGCCTATGGTCAGATAAATATATGATATGTATCAACATAAACATATTAATATTAACATATTAATCACAGACCCTAATGTTAAATAAACACACCGCGTTAATTTCTAATATCGTCAGACATATTGGTCCGTCTACAGAAAAAAAGCTAACAAATGTGTGCTATGATAAGTACAAATTTCTTCATTAAAACGCGTGATAGAAAATACTGAGACATTTTATCTTACAGACACATTTCTTTCAGCATGAGCAAACTATATTGGGTCTCTTAAGTATTTCATAATACTAATGTGCTTTATCATACCAAACTACATGTACTTGAGGTTAAATGAAGACATATCACAGCTAGCTTTAAAAAACAAATGCACTGTTATCCTCAAAGACAAATAAATGTCATTAAGGATTAAGCCAAGGACGATTGCTGTTCGCTAACGAGCTCCATCCGCCCGGGTTTTCTGTTAGGGTTTTCCTTCCCTTAGACGACTGCTGTTCGCTAACGAGCTCCATCCGCCCGGGTTTTCTGTCGGGGTTTTCCTTCCCTTAGACGACTGCTATTCGCTAACGAGCTCCATCCGCCCGGGTTTTCTGTCGGGGTTTTCCTTCCCTTAGACGATTGCTGTTCGCTACCGCACTCCATCCGCCCGGGTTTTCTGTTAGGGTTTTCCTTCCCTTAGACGACTGCTGTTCGCTAACGAGCTCCATCTGCCCGGATTTTCTGTTAGGGTTTTCCTTTCCTTAGACGATTGCTGTCCGCTAACGAGCTCCATCTGCCCGGGTTTTCTGTTAGGGTTTTCCTTCCCTTAGACGACTGCTGTTCGCTAACGAGCCCGATCTGCCCGGGTTTTCTGTTAGGGTTTTCCTTCCCTTAGGCGCTGGAACTGGCACTCCTCCCTATCAAGTCTCTCTGTGCTCTTGTCACCACAGAGAGGAGGACTTCTGCCGCTTCCTTCATGGTGGGTCGCACAAAGGGATGCAAATAGCAGCAGCGGGTTACAAAATCCTCTATCCCCATCAACTCCACGAGGCCGGAGCGCTGCAGAATTACCCCCAGACTGTAAACATCGCTTGCCGTGGTGGATTTGATATTCCAGTATATTTCAGGTGCTAAATGTTGGCATCTTGTCATCCTTGCCAGTCGCTCCGAGGGGTCGGGAACATCGAATCTGTATCCGCTATTGGAGTCGGAGACGTACGAAGCATTGCCAAAGTCATTTATGTATGGGCTAGGGTAAGTGCCAATACGGCCAGATAACAGAATATTGTCTTCTTTTAGATCGTTATGGATCACCCCAATACTGTGCAGTCGTGCCATTTTGTTGGCGACTTGAAACATCACCCATGCCCATTCACACAAGGACACTGGCTCTGCCACGGGCGGCACCCTCCTGATCTCCTGAGCCAAGGTGATGGAAACCCCTTGGATTACATCCCCGACGAAGTCGGTAACCAAGGCAGTGTCATGAGTGGAGATTGGACGCTGGTCCTCCATCATCTGCAGCAACCCAACGAACCTAGACGAAAAGAGAAAAGCAATTTGATGGCGTTGAAATCAATTAAGGGTTCTTGTTATTGTGAATGAAAAATTAAATGGATATTAAGAAAAGGTAATAATTCACAAACGAATCAATTTATCATAGTAAAGAAAGAAAAACAAACAAAATTTACGAACAAAAGCTTGCAAAATTCAAAATGCATTGAAGGGAGGTAGAAAGACAAAATAAACCTGGGCGCAATCTTAGTCCCCAAAATTGCCTCACTTATCCCTTGGCGAAGTTGACTCTCGTTCGACAATTGGGCAAACAGCTGGTTCTCGAGTTGGTTGAAGAATTTAATCGCCACCAATTTACCCGTAGACAGCTCTGAGGCCAGGAAAACGCTTCCGAAGCAGCCGGAACCCAGTCGGTGGTGAATTTTGTAGTTTTCTGCATCAAGCAGACCAGGGCATGGGGGTTGATCGTAGAACAGATCAACCCCCTTATTGTCTGTAAATTAAGGTTGGTTGCATGCTTAATTGGATATTACAACAATAGGAAATGGTGTAATAGTTGCATGTTTTAGAAAGAGCAGGGCCGTAGCCTCCGGGGGGTGGGCAGGGAGGGGGGTGGGGCAGTTGCCCCCCCCTGGAAATGGAATTTTCCACACCGTGGTAGGGGGACACCCCCTTCCCCCTCGGGGGCTTCGCCCCCTCGTATCCGCTTACTGCCCCCCCTGGAATTTTGCTCAGGCTATGGCCCTGAAGAGACAGTTCCGATGTGTAATGGAAAGGCAATTTAAAAAAAGGGGATATTTCATGGCAACTACTTTACTTAACTACTTTCTCAAAGGGTTTATAATTTTCAAAATTAGTGAAACTACAATTTTTAGAAAATGAAAGTGACTGTATCCAAGCACCATACACTATATATTGAGAGCTGGTAAAAAACAAAAAAGATGAAGACACGGATTTCAATTTACAAAGCCACTATATTTGTAAAAAATAAAAAACGGGGGGAGGGGGGGGGGAGAAAAAACTGGCAGCATCATACCTATCCCCTTATAGAAATCCTCCAGTATACTGATCATGTTCTCTGGTGACTAGATTATGAAAACAATAAAGCAATTGATAAATAAATAAAAAATGAAATTAAAATAAATGAAATTTAAATTAATAAATTAAGCAATTATAACAGAAATTACAAAAGAAAAAAAAAAGAAAACATAAATAAAAAAGAAAAAGAAAATATTATCCCTATGGAGTAAAAGTAGCCTTAACTCACGAACATGCTTGAAAATGAAGATATTAGTTATCTAAAAACAGCAAAAAAGGTATTGGTGAGTGAAATTCAATGTGTCGATAGTGAACAACAAGGAGAGTGGCAAATGAAAAAAAAAACAACAACTTTTAATCACTGGGCGTGAGTGATTAACTTATATCAGTAACGCCAACCTTGGGACCTCTGGGCCCGGGGTACACGGCCACGGTGTATGTCCCTCTAGATGCATTGCGGGGAGAATCCAATTTCGATAGCTCCTCAGAACTTACAGATTCCACCTCTACAATAAATACATAACAAGATAATAATAATCTTTTTTTTAATCAGCAGATTATCGAACGTCGATGATAGATGATGGTTTTATACTCTTGCAAATATGCCAGGGATTAACATATAAAAGCCTTCACTTCAATAATGCACGAGAGAGAGAGAGCAGTATAGTACTGCAGTGCCTTATTTACAAAGAATAAAGAATTAGCTCTACATTTCTAAAACGACAAGATAGATCCTACCCAGATCCTCTCCTGCGTGGGATGGTGGGATTTCAGGCAAATCTGGGGTAGAGGAGGGTGCGCCGGAGGATGTTGGACATGAGGGGTTCTAGAGCGAAATAAAGATTGAGAGAAGACAGGAAGGATTGAAAAGATTAAGAAAAGAAATGAAGTGTGTAAGAAAACAGGGGAAAAAAGAAAAACAAAGAGACAGGCAAGTAAATAAATTATAACAGAAATTACAAAAAAAAAAAGAAAAGAAAACATAAGTAAAAAAAGAAATATTGTCCCTATCTAAGTACAAGTAGCCTTAAGTCATAAACATGCTTGAAAGTGTTAGTTATGTAAAAACAGCCAAAAGTTATTGATGAGTGAACTTCATTGTGTCGATAGTGAACAGCAAGGAGAGAATGTGGCAAAGGATAATGACAAAAAAATACATCCAATCACTGGACGTGAATGGTTATCTTATATCAGTAATACAGACCTTAGGGCCTCTGGGCCCGGGGTACACGGCCACAGTGTATGTGCCTCTGGATGCATTGTGGGGAGAATCCAATTTTGAAAGCTCCTCAGAACTTACAGATTCGACCTCTACAATAAATACATGAAAATAAAACAATATTATAGAATATTTAAAAATCAGCAGATTATCGAGCGTCGATGGTAGAAAATGGTGTTATAATTTTGCAATATGCCAGGGATTAATTTATAATAGCCTTCACTTCAATAATGCACAAGAGAGAGCACTATATAGTACTGCAGTACCTAACATACAATAAATAAAGAATTAGCTCTACATTTCTAAAAGTCAGGATAAATCCTACCCAGATCCTCTCCTGCGATTTCAGGTAAATCTGGAGTAGAGGAGGGTGCGCTGGAGGATGTTGAACTTGAGGGGTTCTAGAGCGAAACAAAGATTGATAGAAGGAAGGAAAGATTGAAAAGATTGGGAGAGGAAATTAAGTGTGTAAGAAAAGAGGGGGAAATAAAAACACATACATGGTTAATCACACTATTGAAAACAACAGAACTCTAAAGGCACTTGAAACATGAGATGAAAAAATGCATGCAAATACCCTTCCAAATTTCTTCTGACACCAGCGCCGAAAACGGGCCAGCTTCTTAGGAGCTCTCGGTCCAGTATCACGAGGACTCCTTCTCCCTTGTGCTGCAACACCCAGTGATAGATATTTGATAAAACATACGGCATAAATGGTAACTGGTGTTAAATATACATGTAGCATGCTGAGTAAACAAATAGATTGTATATATTGATGGAGTACGTGTATGTTGCTTTTAAATGAGTTAGTTCCATTAACCAAATTGTGTATTTTAAATAATATCGTATTCTTTTCTTTCGTCAGACCAGAGGCATGTTATAGACTTATTTTCAACTTACCAGGGCCTCTTCTAAGCCCAAAACAAGCAAGTAAGTTATCCCAATCGCTTTTGCGTGGCTATAAAACAAATAGAAATAAATGCTATAAATATTATGCACCCAAATATAAAAAATATCTGTTCCATTACTTTTCACAATTTTAGTTATATTAACCTCCCTGCCAAGAGCCATATCTGTTTAAAGACGCATAACCTCAAGGAGATTGTTTCACAAGTGAATATTCTGTTTTCCCAAAGATTTTAAACAAAAAAATGAGGTTATTAGCGGTAGACGTAGATCGACACAAGTTTTACACAACTACAATGGCATACCACTACAATGTGCTGAAACCACAAGAACAACGGCTTGTCTTATATGTTGTACAACCTCCATGAAATAAATGCCCCAGACCCTCTACCCCCACCCTCCACAATCTCTCTCTCTCTCTCGAACACTGGTCCACAGAACGCATAATGAAAGTGTATTGTCAACCAAACACACAATATAACTTACAATTAATGGCATGTTACTCTCCTTTTATGATAAAATTCTTCGTAAATGGTCAGAATGCTAACGCGGTTCAACACAGTGTGTATCACTCGTTTGCGGTGTGACGGTTGTCTGAGGAGACAGTTCCCGCAAACTGACGTCACAACAAAGGAGCATGCTTATTGGATGATAACGGGTATTATATAAAATTATACTCAATGTCTGAAAATTAATCTCAGAATTGTTGCTGTATCTACACCCATTTAAACCTTATCTCAAATATTTTTGTAAGATGTATTTTCATTTGTTAAATACAGTTTTTGAAGAAGAGCTTGTATAAACAAATGAGTACAATATCATTTCCTCCATCTCCTGGCATCAGAAAATAGCATAGGAGCAAATTTAAAGTATTATGACGTCACACACAGAATGAGATGTGATGAGATTTGTGACGTTTTAAAGTGACTTTGTTGAGACCCTCTAATTCTATAGTCCGAATTCCGTCCCTCTAATCTTTACTCCCCCTCAAGGCCTCTGTTTTTGAATGTCAAACGGAAAAAATAACAGTAGTCCTAAGGTTTGTTGTTCTAAAAATGGTAACATTTCCATCAGTTTTTTTTTTTTTTTAATCAGAGATTTGTTGGTCCGAATGTTCTATAGCGAACGTTGGGACCAATGAACCTCCCGATTATTGAACCGTTGGACTATTGCTACAGCCCCAAAATAACGATATGGGTCCCCGTTTTTACAGCAAGGCTTTCAGTTTTATCATTATGTTTTGAGTGCCACATTTTACATGATAATCATCGTGGCTTTCTAAGCGATGTGGGGGTAGGTCTAGTACAAGGAGGGGCAGTGAAGCACTGACCAAGGTAGGCTATATTCTACTTAAAACCGGTTAGAAATTAGTTACGAAATATAAACTGGCTTTTAGGTTCAAAATTCCAAGTTTCAAATATGCCGAACTGCTGCTCTGGAATCAGCGTATAATTATTTAATAAATATAGTTCATTTTTTGTTCCGTGCACTATGCTCAGTACGAAAGTTATGGTGCCACTCAGCAACTTTTTCTGATCATTATGAATTAAAAACAATAGATGGCCACGTAGACTAGATTCGTTGACTTTGAATTAGATAATATTTTTAGCTTACCTTCATCAAACCTTGCAGTTAGAGTGGATAATCTTGCTTCCCTTTAGTAGACCATCGTTTTTATTTGAAAATAAAACTCGTCTGCTAAAATATTCAAGATGTCTGCCATCAATGCTTTTATTGCCTTCACTTAAAAAGAGCACTTTCGACGTTGTGCACGCTCCTGCAGTGGCATGTTTCGGGCTTAACTTAATCATTTAAAAATTCTCGGGGGTTGGGGAAGGACTTGTTGTGTCTAATTGCGTTCGCGGAAAATACACATTTACAGCTAATTCCAAGTTATGAGCGACAGAGACTTGAGCTTCAATATAGAAAGCAAGAGCCACGTGGATAATCTTATCTTTCTCTTATTTCACTTTCAGAAGGTAAACATATACGTTACATGGAACAAATATATGTGGCAAATAACATATAGGACTAAAAGCTGGATATGATTGCATTTCAAGTCTGAAGATAATGCATGAAACTAATCTTACTAACTGAGAAAAAAAACTCTGCTGAATTAATTCCCTTGTTGAAGGAAACCTTGGTTAAAGCAGACTACTATCCATATTGCATCAAAGTAGGTACAATTTTCACTAACAGAAAATAAGTTTGTTTGATAATGGATGTTTAAATAGCTCCAATCTGAAAGATCTGAAATAAAATGCAACAATTATTGTAAAATTTTGCCAAACATGGGAAGATTTAAAATTTGTATAAAAGATGCCTCCTTTCAAACTTCCTTAAAACATGGAATAACTTGACAATTGTATAAAAGACATCATTTGAAATTGACAGAATATTTCAAAAAGGGTACTACTGTTTAAAAAAAATATCACCTTAGATGTACATATAATTCTTGTGACAAAGTGAATATATTAATAACACCAAAGATTAGTGAGCAAATAAAGCACAAGGCTTGCTTCAAAGTATACAGCTTTTGACCGTAGAATTTATAGTCAAAGTTGCCCAACACCATTCATAATCATTTGGGGTTTGTTTTTACAAAAAAACTTCTTAATAAGCTGGAAAATTGACCTCAACTTTTAAACTGTTATTTTGTCCACTTTGGCAAAATATGAATTGGTGGTAGCCATTTTGAATAATTCAGAAATACTTTGCCTGTGTTATAAATACAAATATCTGCCAAATTTTGTACTTATTTGTGTGGACTACATTGTAATATGGGCACCTTTTACCTCAAGCTAAGAGACCCAATTTTGGTCCTAGACTAAAACTTTAAATCAAATTTTGAGCTACAGTCCTTTTGCCAAACTCGCCCAAATGAGCAGAGTTCCAACATCTGATTGCATGGTGTTCACATCTAGCTATGCTCCACAAGCAGAGAACCAGTACATGAGTAAACCCTGTCTGTTACAACTCATTCTGGCTTGAATCAAGCACTACATTGACACTAATCACATACTGTTGGACAGTCATGATCAACCTGGGCCTAAGTTACAAACCAAGACAAACAGTCAGCCTTATTAAATTGGACTAGACTGATTTAATTCAAATATTAGTTTTTAGTTTGGTTCCGCAGACATTTAGGAGTTCCTCTTGATATGACTATCCCTGCTCACTTGTTCTTCACTTTTTGTGTCGAGGTCTGCACCCTGGAGTTGCTCATCACTACCCTGTGGCTCAAGGTCTTTGCAAGTGCTGTCATCTGCTTGCTCATGAGGCCCATCTTCCAACATTTCTTCCTCTCTCTTGATCTCCTCCATCAACTTTTCGGCTTCATGCTCTTCATCCTCCTTCCCATCATGTTTAGCCTTTTCTGCTTCTGCTAGCTCCAACCTCTTTTGTCGCCTCTCGTGCAAAAGATTGGTAAGCCTAGTCCTCATATTGATCAAACTTTTTTGCCTGTCTTTTTTCAGCCCCAGCTTCCTGTTTTCACGGTAATGTTTAAACTGCTCCTGAATTTCATGGAAATTTTCACGGAATTCCTCTCTTCCCTCCTTCAACATTGCCCTTAGCCTGTCTTGATCCTCCATCTTTGGTATCCTTTCCTTCCTTCGGAGATACTTAATGGCTTGCTGAGTTCCTACTATAGTAACCATATAACGAACTGGAGCGACAAGTTTGTACATAATAAAAGCTAGTGCTATGTCCCCCAAGTTGGACCCTGGTCGAAAGTGCTTCATTATGGACTCCGAAGCATTAAAATACTCCAGTAAAGGCACAATGTCCAATCCCCTAAAATGATACAGATAAACAATAAACACACACACACACATATATATATATATATATATATATATATATAGAGAGAGAGAGAGAGAGAGAGAGAGAGAGAGAGAGAGAGAGAGAGAAGGAACCGAACAGTTAGTCTGATCTCACTATTTTAATTTACATAAATCCCTACAGCTATTTCAGCCCAGAGGCCTCATCAGGGGCACAAACAGATAAAAAAAAAAAAAAGACTTTTATATATATAAGCCTCAATTGCACTGTAATCTAGATATCTTTGTAACACATGTAAGACGGTTACAAAATATTTTTACATATTAAATGACTGAACAATTGGGTTATTAAATAAGAAAGGGAGGGAGATAGAGAGAGAGAGAGAGAGAGAGAGTTTTACTTCATAAACTTAGATACTTACGCTTTAGCAATGCCATAGAACAACCCAAACCACCCAATAGAAGTGGTGACCTCCACCACAATAAACACCTTTCCATGTGTTTTATACACTTTCTTAAATCTCTGGAATAAAGTGAGGCTCTTCTCATCATCTCCCTCTGCATCACCTTCACTTGATTTTTTTGATAGGCTCTTCCCATTTTCTCCCTCTATAGCACCACTGTCAGATTTTGGGGAGATACTCTTCCCCTTGCCTCCCTCTGCAATGTTAAAATCAGACACACTTTTGTTTGCCTTGGCATCTGAAATTGTTTCACTGTCCTTCACATTACTCCCTTCTTGCTTCTTCTGACTAACTGAATCTTTTTCATAATTTTTGCTCCTCACATCAGGTTTTTCTGGAACTAATAAATGCTTTGTAACACTGAGATTCCTAGAGATTAACAGAGGGTGGCAGGCAGAAGACGCACTGTCAAATTTCACAGGTCTGAATATTTCTGAATTTCTTGGGGTCCTATGCGTGTGTACACTTGATGCTGTTCTGTAGATCCATGGCCAACCTGAAAAGATATTTAATGAAATTTATGGTTGCCAATTGAGTTGAATTTAAATGTAAATGTAGGTGGGAGGGATAAGGAGGAAGAAAGGAGGGGGCAGGGCTTAACTGTTGAGTTTTCATATTTTGATCATGATGATAATATTATGAAAATGTAGTAAGTATTGGCTATATAAGGTACTGTTAACAGTAACATATAGGGTCATGAACCTGTATCAGTGTATAGTCTCCAGCACGTGACTTAAATAATTCCTTTGAACATTCTCTGACATCATCTTTGTTTTAAGTTCCCTTTTTTTGTCCTTTTTATTTATCTTCACATATAATCATACTGATTTAATGAGATTCACTTATTAGGGAGCCTTTTCCTTTTGGTTTATACCAAAAACCAAATCAGTGGCTTTTCTTCAACCCTCCCCCCTTCTCAAGTCAATTTCAAACAACGTTAAAACAAACTTTACAGCCATTTCACTCTGAAGGCTATAATATTCTTGCACAGCAACAAATTACATAATTTCGTCAGCTTGCATTCTTAAGAAGCTCACATTTTTTACCTTCATTGTGACTTCCGAGCTGTGATGTCGACATTGCTATTGAAATCCCTAATTTCCTTACCTTGTGAACTTATCGAAGTAGAATTGGTCCAAAGTCTTGCAATTCGTTTTGAGGATCGAAACATTTCGCTTTTGAATATATTACGTTTCACAAGCAATCATTTCAGTTTAGCACGTGTGCCTACGCCGAGGTCACTTTTGAAGTGTTTACCCTCGTATTGAGTCTCCAAACTAGAACTAGAGTTCTGTACTGAGAAGGAGACGCGTGCGTGGAGATAAGTTTCATAGTTACCACCAGTGGGTACTACTAATGTGTCGTAACTACTTCAGATAACAAATTATCCACATCAGTGACACAATAAATACAAACCCATGACAATTAATGGTGATATTTTTATATTTCAAATACGTGTTAGCTGACTTTCATTTTTAGAATTAAATGAGTCATTTTGCTTGCTGCAGTGTTACTTTTTACGACAATAGTACCCACTATAAAAGATAAGAAGCATGGAGTCCTCAGGTTTGTTAATGTCCCTTTGCATTTCATGCTCAGAATTATCTTCATTAGGTTGAAATATAGATGCCATAATATTTTGGAAAGGATTCTCATAGATTATATATACATATACTGGATCTGTATCTGGTTCGTTGCAGAAAAATGATATGATAGATAAAATATGTGTAAGTTGCACAGGAGACTTTTTCTTTGTTAAACGTCATCTTCCCAAGTGCTTAACTTTAGACTGCCCAACTTCTTCATCTCTGTTTAAGTGAAGATAAGTGTTGAACCAGATGAAGTGTATCGATTAATGTGCACAATTTGGAGTAAATGTTATATCATCAAGTGCTATGTCATTGACTTTTTAATTTTTTTATTTATTGATTGATTTTTGACAGCCCTCAATGTGCAACAAGAGGAGGCAAACAATGCAGTAGATGTGGTAATTGTATAGATCTGTTGACGATTTTTAAATTGTTCAAAACTTTAAACAATAATGAAAAGTTATCTCTATAAAATACCATCTAAAAGTGTCAGTTTGTGCAGAAGAATTGAAAAATAATGTTGCCAAAATGTTGCATGAAAATCTAACACAAGAATAATATTGAAAAAAAATTATATACTTTATATTTCATTTAACACAATGGTATGAAGAGTGCATATTTTGAAATAAAAAGCAGTTGCTTTTTACTCTCCAGGGGAAGGATTTAACCACCACAGTTGCTAAACACTACAATGAACTTAAGGAAACTGGACTAGAGCAACGAGCTCAGAGCAGAATTTTCTACCTCAGGAATTTTAATAACTGGATTAAAAGTGTTCTCATAGGTGAGATTTTTTTAAAGAAAAATACCAGTGATAATGATGATGATGATGATTGTTGATGTCATGTAATTATAAAATGCTGTTGTTTGGCATGGTGTCACGATTTCACTGTCTTTATGTTTGAGTCTGATACAGTTAGAAACAGGATGCAGGTCTAAGTTATTATAAATGCCATATGCCATATGAATAAAATAATAATAATAATAATAATAATAATAATAATAATAATTGCTACTGACTGTCCAAGGAGTGCATAATCTACACCATGATGACATTGTAAAGTTCCAAAAAAATAAAACCCCTATTTACCTTCCACCACAAAGTCTTTTCCATCATAGTTAGAATAAAAAGAAGTGAAACAATGGTTTGGTTGTTTTGGCACCTTATCAGGGGGTGTCTAGTTTTTCAGTCCAGTTTTTTTAAAGTTAATATTAATGTATCATAAGAAAAGTAGATAAATATCTCCAAAACAGATAAAAAGTGTATTGTAAGGATGCATAAAATTTTATATGGTTAAAAATGCATATCAATTTCAAGTAGCTCAAAATTGTAGCTTCTTGATAGTGAAGTGAGTTTAAGTGGTGATGTGTACTTCCTTTTAGGTGAATTTATACAAGAATTAAAGAAGTCACAAGGACCAAATGCACCGCTTACCGTTTTGGACCTAGCCTCAGGAAAAGGTGGAGATTTGCTAAAGTGGAAGAAAGGAAGAATTAGTCATTTGGTTTGTGCAGGTATATTCGAACACGCACGCACGCGTGCGCACACACACACACTGTAAATATGGCAAACTCTAATAAAAGATCCCAATTTAGCATCTATGAGTGTCATGTTTTGGGTTTTCCATCCCTTGTTTGACCTTGTCCAATCATTAGTTTAAGATACTGTTACGTACTACAATTTCCATTATTAAGTCAAACTTTGTGAGGCTCATGCACTTGTCTTGAAAGTTTATCACATGCATCATGGTGACTTGTGTTGAAGATTTATATTATAATTTATTATTTGTTGCATTTGTTGGTAGAGTTTTGTCTTAAGATTTAACTGTATTTTACTGGTTTTCGTCCCAGATATTGCTCAGACTTCAGTGGAGCAGTGTGAAAACAGATTCAAGGAAATGGGAGAGCGTGGGAGGCGGGAGAGATTCTCAGAACCAATGTACACGGCAGAGTTCATTGCAGCTGATTGCACCAAGGCAAGTCATGTAATGGGGGTAATGCAGGAGGGTACAGTGGGTAACTGTCTCGCCTTTGATTTTTCCCTCACATAAAATAGTATAATGAGTGAAACAAGGCAAGCAATTTTCCATGCCTTTGCCCCATGTGTTATAATAAGATTATACTTATCTACTCTTTTATGTTTGCTATATATATTTTCCTAGTGCTCCTCACTTATCTCTGCCAAATCTTGGTACTTAAAACTCTGACTAAAAAATCTGGATATATGAGTCAGGTTCAGGTCAGAAAGTTTGTTGATTTTTAGTAAATAAAAGGGATACACGGGCAGCAGTGAAATGACTTACAGGAATGAATAGCTGAAGAAAGAATAGAACACAAATGACAAATATCTTGATGCCCTTCATTGCAAAAGTCTGACTTATGTATTTTGATGTTGAAGGCCTATAGTGTATTTCATATATTAATACATACATGAAAAATTATAACCATTGAAGTGAACTGAGTGAATGAATAGAAACATCAGGACAAGAGGGACAAATATGCTGATTTCTGTCATTGACATTTTCTGACATATATCTTGATTTAAAATACTTGTAAAGTATTCAATATCATTTTTTTTCTTTCAGACAAGACTAAAGGATCTGTACAAGGACCCTGATATAAAATTTGACCTGTGCAGCTGTCAGTTTTCTTTCCATTACTCATTTGAAAGTTTACAGCAGGCAGAAATGATGCTGCAGAATGCCTGTGAATGTCTCAAACCTGGTGGTTACTTTATAGGCACGACACCCAATTCACACGAACTTGTGTAAGTAGTTTAGATGATCAGAAACGGGGCCTGTCATAAAGAAAAAGATTAGCTGAAGAGTTTTTTTTGGATATTTTCTTTGCCAATCTGAGACAATATTGACAAAAGAGATTTGGTGCCAACTGTTAATTTAAAATAATCAAATTTTTCATAGCTAACTTGTTTGATTGAACTTATAAGAATTTTATTAGTTTTTAAAATTAGTTTTCAGTATATGTACATTCTATTTTTGAAAAAGTAAATCTTGATTCAGACTGGTTTAAGCAGGGGCGGATTTAGGGCGTCTTCTGGGTCTTCCGGAAGACGGTCAGATTTTCAAGTTTACATTGTCGGGCATCTAATGTTTTCTGTCGGAAGACGGTCAAAAATGGAGAATGGATCAACAAAGATAATTTGGAAGACTGTCAGAAAATATATCTGGATCCGCCCCTGGTTTAAGTGAGCTTAAATGTTTCAAGTGTGGAAATGGGGATTAATGGCATCAATTAAAGCATTATTCCATCTTTTGCTAGAGTGCCTGTATTTTTTTTTTTTTTGAAGTGATTTGCTTATGAGGTTTAAACTTGCTTTAGAATAACTAATAGATTTAAAAACAAGCCAGTAGATTTAATGTTGCACAAAATATGATGGAAATTTCCAAGTACAGGAAATATCACAAAATGATATTCCTGACCAGTTATATATATAAATGGAAACAGAAAATTAGTTCACTATCTTTTATATTTCTTGATTTTCAGTAAAAGACTGAGGGCATCTGAGGATATGTCATTTGGCAATGAGGTCTATAATGTGACATTTAAATGTCCTGACAAAGACAATCTGGCGCTGTTTGGCTGTGAATATAATTTCCATTTAGAAGGTGTGGTGGACTGTCCAGAATTCTTGGTGTACTTTCCTTTGTTAGAAAAGTGAGTGTGTTAATCTTTTTGGTGCATTCTATTGTTCTTTTTTTTTTTTTTTTTGTAACAAAGATGCTGTTTTTTACCTTTTAAGTTCATCACTAAAGGATGAGAGGAATTAATAGATATCAATGGACTCACGAAATTCAAAGTATTATTTATTTTATTAGCAACTAATAGTATTCTAAGTGAAAGATGAAGTGAATTTGATGTAGGGTTAAAAAGAAAAAAGTGGTATTTACAATCAAAATACATTTTGTGGGCTATTTTAAACCTGTACAGTCATTCATCTTTATATATAAATATGAATGTGTGCAACATTTTATTTTGCAGAATGGCAGAAAAATACAACTTGAAATTATTGTACAAGAAACCGTTTCACAAATATTTTGAGGAAAATTCACAACAGGGGGACAGCAGATCCCTTTTAGGAAAAATGCAAGCATTAGAGGTATGTATTACACACCAGCTATATCTGTTGAGGCACTGGGTTTTGGAACCTATGCCCATTTCAGAAAAGAACTTGAGGGTGGTTACTGGTCTAGCCTGTAAACATAAATAAGGTGTACTTCTGTTCTATCCATAATAAAGTTAATTTTGGCCTGACGCATTTGCCCTGTCTTTTTTGTTATAAAGCAGGCACAGCATTTGCTTTAATTGTACTAATTTAAAATAACCATTTAATCTTGGGTTGAAGTTGACTAAAATTTAGGTCTAAAAGGTTAGAGAAAATTTCAGGCTAAATTTCTTTTGTGACACTGGTCTCCAATGGGGACTGAATTGAAATTGTCATCATTTCTCATTAGGCACACAGTTGGAATTTTTATCAGTGTGTAAGTTTTCTGGGAGGTAATAAATGGCTTAAATTATGACCAAAACTATGAAAGCTCCTTCAAACTGAAACTCGAAAATGGAACTCACTCATACTCACACTCACAGACACACACACAAACACATTTTGTTTAAAATTGTATTAGGAAATACCCTTGAAATAAGAGATTTTATGGCAAGTACCATTTGATGGGCAATAGGTGTCCTGTAAGATTATGGACAGGGTTTTGTTATTTATTAATACCAAAGAGAGACTGTCCAAAAAGTTATTATTAGAGAAATATGTAATTCTTTGTTTATAATCCTGTATGTATTTCAGCCCTACCCACCACATGAAAATGTTGACTTGGTATCTAAGAACACAGAGGCATACAAAGCTACAGAGACAAAGTTACAGGCACTAAGGTCAAAAGAACCTGAAGAATACAAGAAGAGAAGAATGAAAGTCGTAAGTGTTTATTTTGTTTGAATTTATTGAATGTGAGAGACATAATTTGGCCTGAGTAGGTCACTGCACATGGCAGTTTCTATTGTACTGGTATAAGGCATCAATCTGTAGGAGATTAGGGCTTGTAGTAGGGTGAAGTAACTTGTGAAGTCTGTTGGACATTGTGCAATATGAGAAAACAAGACACAGATGACTTAATGTGTGCTCACTGAATAGCCAATGCGAAATACACCTTATAAATCAAATAACAAATGAATCCAGGCTATGCCTAACCATAGTGAAATATGTATGGAGCATGTAGTTAAGATATGACAAATGTGCAGAAAAGCAATCAGCTTTTATTATGCTGATAAGCAAGCTAAATGTTATATGGAAAAGATGACAGTCAAAAGACAACCATAAAGGTATCATGGCTATCTGAGAAGGAAAGTCTGGAACCCCTCTGATTTCAGCTGGATGCAGTCTCAAAAAATGCTTTTAGACCGGGACTTTCACGTCAGCAACAAAAGAGAAACTCAGACTGAAAGTTGTTTTTAACTTGGAGACCACAAACTTTGGCCCCATTCCCATAAAGACAGCATCCGTCTATGCGGATCGATCCAACTCTGCAGGGACTCTTGGTAAGTGCAATCAGCTTAATTGAAGAACATGCCTCCTTCTGTTTACAAGGTACTCGTATATTCACCAGCTTTTCTGTATTTACTCAACACCAGGAAGAGGCATGCTAATCTGTTAAGCTGCTTGCACTCAGAAAGAATCCCCACGAAGTTGGGTCGATCCATGTAGACCCATGGTATTTATGGGAATGCACCCTTTGGTCCTTCACTTCTGTTCAGTATGAACATGCTGGGGTAGCGCTAGCAATTTTTTTTCGCTTAGCCAAATCACCACATTTTTGTCAATTTGTTATCAAAATGGCTATCATTTGAATAAAACATATCAAATCAAGCCCTTTTTCTTTAGCCAATTTAAGTCAGTTTAACATTTGGCTAAATTGGCGACTGTTAGCGCTACCCCATACATGTATTGGTCCAAATAGATGAAGTAATTATTTGTTTAAAGCACCAGCCATTTTTTTCTCTTAATAAAATGGGCATACTGTTTTATGCTATTGGACACAGTAAATTATCTGGGGTTCCAGCAGACTAAACTAAAGTAGACTAAACTTTTAATTGTGTGACACAAGATGGTCAAGAAGAACATTGACCAGGATGTGAGTTGTTGGTACTTTGTAATACACGTCTATATATGTACAATGCAAACATTCTGCTAAGAAAGTAACAATGATAAAATATGGTATTAAAATGTTTTATTCTTTTGCAGGGTACATTATCACAAGAAGAATGGGAAGCTACAAGTAAGTGTAACATATCCATTGTTAAGTTTTTAGTATAGAAGAAAAAATGCCTCTGACTTTTAGGGGCTGTTTCCTTTCAGTCATGTTATAAATAGATTCTCTAAGCACTTCTCTGTGTATTAATACTTTAAATTCAATGATTTTCTTTACGTTTAATAGTTTATTATTGTCTTCAGAATTTGTGAAGGCTTTTGTTTCTCAAGAATTTAATATTATTTATCAATTTTTTTAATAGGTGGATGAAAATTTCTGTGAATGTTTTTTTCTTTTTTATATGTAATGTATGGATATTTTTATATTTCCATTTACAGCAGTCTACCTGGTCTTTGCATTCCAAAAGCTTGGAGAGGAAACAAAAGCTGAGAGCTCACAAGCTGGTTCTCCCTCTACAGAGCAAAGGCGAGGGATGAAAAGATCGCTAGAAACAAAAGAAGACGAAGATCAGGAAGAAGTGTCACCAAAGAAAGTTGCCAAAGAAACAACAGACACATAGAAACATATCACATATGTACTGGGGCCTGTGTAACAAAAGACTAACAACTTGAAAATTGATGCATACTTTTAGACCAAAATTTTGGTCTGCCTCAGCTCAAGATGAATCCATGGTGGATGACTTCCAGATACTGTCTAGTTATTCATTTTGTATTAGTATGAAACAATCCATTTGTCTTGATATAGAACAGACAAAATATAATATCATTTAATTGGATTACTTTACTATTTTATCTTGGGTCTAAGGACTTGTTCTCAGTGAAACTTGGTCTTCCTGTATGGATCCAACTGTGCAGGGTCTCCCGCTGAATGCAAGCAGATAAAGAGGTTCACATGCCTCCTCCTGGTGTTGAATAGAATACAGAAAAGCAGTTTATTATACAAGTATGTTGGAAACAAGAGGAGGCATGTTAATCTGTTATTCTAATTGCATTTAGACAGAGTCCCTGCAGAGCTGGACTGATAATTTCATTGGGAATAAGCCCCAAGTAAGCTAAAGTCTTGGCTAAGAAGTTGGAACCAATTTTTTTGAAAGTTCATTGCTGAAACGAGCTCCAGGATTTCAAAATGTTGATGGAATTCAATGTGTCAGTGTTGGGACATAAAGTGTCAGAATGAGATGGATGGATGAAGGACCCACAGTCAAGGGAATGTTATATGGATTTTTTTATTTGTCAGCATAATAGATATAACCTTTACAGTCTTGGTTATATTGGACTGGCATTTCAACTTGGTGCTCCAGACGAGTAGTGTCGGGCTTTAATTTCTGATTTACAAATCTCACAGGTTTTTCCAAGTAACAGTTTTGGATCTTTGTTCTATTTCCATGTAAACTACATACCTGCATTAGTCATAGCATACCCATTTTAAAATGGTGTTGTATAAATGAATATAATATTGTCACAGTTAACGTAAAATATATTACTAAAATGCACTCCTGTCCTACACTTTGTTCTATGAATTGTTAGTGTTAGAAACTCATTAAAAGGAATATATTTACAAAAGGACATATGAGAGATGTTTATGCAGTACATAAACCTCTCTTATTTAGAAATCGAACCCCTGTGTAATATAAGTGTAAATATTGGAAAGATTTGCAATTCGGGAATGAAGAGAACATTTCAAGTTTTAATTGCAACGTAACGTCATTGATTTTCGAACCCCATTCTTTAACTGTGACGTCATAATATGCCAAATTTTCTTTGCCGCTTCGCGCGTTACGCAGGAAGATGGAACGATTCAATTATTCATTTGTCCATTATATATCTCCCAGCAAATACTGTATATATATCCAAGGTAAATTTATCTCATATGAATGGGCAAAACGAAGTCAAACAGTTTATAGATGCTGTAAAAATTATAAAATTGATTTTTATGAAATGGGGCACGATTTTATTTAATACCCGACATCTTCCAATAAACAGGCGTCTTTGTTGTGACGTCAGTTTGCGGGAGCCGTCTCCTCAGACAACCGTCACACCGCAAACGAGTGATACACATTGTGTTGAACCACGTTAGCATTTGACTATTTACGAAGGAATTCTGTCATAAAAGAAGAGCAACATGCCATTAATTGTAAGTTACATTGTGTATATGGTTGACAGTATGCTTTCATTATAAGTTCTGTGAACAAGTGTTAGAGAGAGAGAGAGAGTTGTGGAGGGTGGGGGGGGGGAGGTCGGGATCNGGGTGGGGGGGGGGGGGGGGCGGGATCATTTATTTTTTTGAGATTGTACAACATATAAGACAAGCCTTTTCAAGTTGTTTCAGCATATTGTATGCCAATTGGAGTTGTGTTGAATTACGTCAACCGTGTATAACCTCAAATTTTCTTTTAAAATCTTATGGAAAACAGAATATTCACTTGTGAAATTATCTCCTTGATGTTACGCGTCTTTAAACCGATGAGGCGCTTGGCAGGAAGGTTAATAAAACTAGAAATATGAATAGTACTGGAACATAGATATTTTTTACATTTGCGTGCAAGATATTCATAGCATTTATTTCTACTTGTTTTATAGCCACACAAAAGCGATTGGGATAATCTGCTATCTTGCTTTGGTCTTAAAAGAGGCCCTGGTAAGTTGAAAATAAGGCTATAACATGTTTCTGGTCTGACAAAAGAAAAGAACATGATAATATTTAGAATACACAATTGCGTTGAAGAGAAACATATTCAAAAGCAACATACCTGTACTCCATCAATATGTACTATCTCTTTGCTTACTCAGCATACTACTGTTTATGTCGTATGTTTTATCAAATATCTATCACTGTGTTTTGCAGCACAAGGGAGAAGGANGGGTGGGGGGGGGGAGGTCGGGATCATTTATTTTTTTGAGATTGTACAACATATAAGACAAGCCTTTTCAAGTTGTTTCAGCATATTGTATGCCAATTGGAGTTGTGTTGATCTACGTCAACCGTGTATAACCTCAAATTTTCTTTTAAAATCTTATGGAAAACAGAATATTCACTTGTGAAATTATCTCCTTGATGTTACGCGTCTTTAAACCGATGAGGCGCTTGGCAGGAAGGTTAATAAAACTAGAAATATGAATAGTACTGGAACATAGATATTTTTTACATTTGCGTGCAAGATATTCATAGCATTTATTTCTACTTGTTTTATAGCCACACAAAAGCGATTGGGATAATCTGCTATCTTGCTTTGGTCTTAAAAGAGGCCCTGGTAAGTTGAAAATAAGGCTATAACATGTTTCTGGTCTGACAAAAGAAAAGAACATGATAATATTTAGAATACACAATTGCGTTGAAGAGAAACATATTCAAAAGCAACATACCTGTACTCCATCAATATGTACTATCTCTTTGCTTACTCAGCATACTACTGTTTATGTCGTATGTTTTATCAAATATCTATCACTGTGTTTTGCAGCACAAGGGAGAAGGAGTCCTCGTGATACTGGACCGAGAGCTCCTAAGAAGCTGGCCCGTTTTCGGCGCTGGTGTCAGAAGAAATTTGGAAGGGTATTTGCATTTTTTAAATGCATCAAGCGCCTTCGAGTTTTCTTACTTAGTATACAGTCTGTAGAATTATGATTTAATTATGCCCGTCTATTTTCCCTTTTTTCCTTGTTTGTTTTTTTTTTTACCTTATTTCATTTCTTTCCCGTTTATTCATTCATCCTTTTGCTTTCTCTTTCTCATTACCTCTCTCCTCTTTCTATCTAGAATCCACCCAGCTCAACTTCCACCACTCCAGGTTTACCTGAAATTAAAACATCCCACGTGGGAGAGGATCTGGGTAGAGGACCTCTATTGTGTCGTTCAAAATGGATTTCTTATTAGTTCTTATATGACAGGGACTATACTCCTTGTTCTCATTATTAACGAAAAATAAACTTAATAAACCGCTTGTCAGTTAATTAATGGCGTACCTTCTATTTATAAAGAAATAAAATCGCCATCCATCTTCGAAAAAAAAAATAGATGTAGGCCTATCGGTGGTTAAGTCAGGTATTCATTTCAGTGCTCGAATCGGTAAGTTCCGAAGACCTGCCAGATTGTGACTCTGCCCCAAAGATATCAGGAGGCACATACACCGTGAACGTGTCCCCCAGTCCCGGAGGTTCTACGGTCGGTGTTACTGATATAACCTTTCACGTCCAACGTTGATACTAAATTTTTTCTTTTAATTTTATTTAAAAGCTTATGACCTAATGTAAGCGCTGCTCGTTCACTCACACAATTTAATTAAATTATTTGTTGCTGTTTTGCACTGTTTTATTCCCTTTCAAAGATTTATATGTTAAGCTAACTGTTACGGGGCTTATACATGTATTTTCTTTTATGTATTTCAGTATATTTTATTTTACTTATTTATTTTTTATTGTTTCCATAATCTAGTCACCAGATGATAGCATCTATCCATTGGAGGATTTTTACGTAGGGACAGGTATGATATTATAATCTTATATTTGTCTTTTCTTACACAAAATATTGAATAAATTTATCCAAGTCTTCTTAAAATCCACACAACATTGCTTATAAATCAGTTGGTATTGCACTTAAACAAGTTTATGTGTTTAAATTTCTATATAGGCGTTTTGATGTTTTTTAAAAAATACTTAAAAGTATCGTGTTTTCTTTAATTTTGAAAGAAACTAAAAACATCTTTGCGTAGTATTTAAAAAAATAAGCAGCCGCAGAAAAGTGGGGAGGTAAGCGTGGTTGAAATGTCCTTCATTTACCTGTTTTGTATGGACACTGCATCATATTTATTCCAAGGAAGTTTAAAACAAGAATTATCTACAATTTCTTTTTTCTTCTCTCTTTAGAACTGGATACATATCGGACCTTATTGTTAATTTTTTAAATAATAAATATTGCTGTATCACTATCTTTTCATCATGCCTTCAACCATGCAAACTTTATTCATTTACAGCTATAAAGGATATTGATCTGTTTTTTAATCGAGCCTCGTGTCCCGATCTGCTCGACAACAAGAACTATAAATTCCTTGGCGAACTTGGGTCCGGCTGCTTCGGGAGCGTCTTCTTGGCCTCCGAGTTGTCGTCAGGCAACTTAGTGGCCATAAAATACTTCAAACGCCTCGCTAACCAGATGTTCACCCAGGTGGCGCGAGAGGCCCAGCTCCACCAAGGGATAAGTGAGGCAGTACCGGGAACCAAAATTGTGCCCAGGTATATTTATGTCAATCTCCCTTCAGTTTCTGCTGAACTTTTCTAAGTATTTATTTAATACTTGCGATTTGCTTATTTATCTTTCTACTTGTGGAATGTTCCTATAGAGGTATTTGTATATTCATAATTTGTCGACTTAGTCATTTTTTAAACCATTAATACACACAATTCTATTTTATTTTTTCATTTATTTATTCTTTCACTATCACGCAATGTACTTTTAACCCTGTTATCATTTGTCTCCTCTCGGCTAGGTTCGTTGGGTTGCTTCACGTAAGAGTAGACCAGCGCCCGGAGCGCTGCAACGAGACTGCCTTAGTTACAGACTTCATTGGGGACATGAACCAAAGGGTGTCCATTACCTTGGCTGAGGAGATCATGAG